AATCACTGGTTTTCGGCATTTTATTAGTAGATCGTTTTATCACATGACCGCATAATTTTGCAAAGAGCGATAATGTAGATAAATGTGTGGGTGATCAAATATATCCAAATATATTCAGTTTAAATATATTTAGATATATTTGTTTTCAAAAATTTCCTGATAGACCCTTTAGTTTTGAAAGACTTGAATGGATTAAAAATTGTAAAAGGATGCAAGAAAGAAAGGTTGAAGAACAGTATTTAATTTTATTGTCTCAGAATAACCTGGCTAAAACAGAAATATTTTTTTTTTGATCAATAAATATAAATAATAAATAATCTGTAATGAGCATAAACAAATAAACAAATGTAACGATCCACAAATTATAATTATAAAAAATTAGAAGTAAAAAATACATTCATTCAAAAATTCATTCCTTTTCTATTTATTATTACTTTGATGAATAATTATATCTTTTGTGTTATTATTTTTTTCGCATTTATTTGTCATCAAGTCGAAGGTAATTTAACGATACGATATAAAACGACAACAAAAAAAAAAATTTTTTTCAAGTAACAGCAAAATTAATTTGAATATTTGTTTTGTTTTTTTTTTTAAAATATATATATATATATAGCAATTGATGATAAATATCGTCCAGTCGTGCTTTGGCATGGAATGGGAGATACTTGTTGTAACCAGGAATCAATCGGAAAGATACGAGAATTTATTCAAACCAGTTTACCTGGAATTTATGTTCATTCAATTATGATAGGTGATGATGAAAACGAAGATAAAAAAGCTGGGTTTTTTGGTAACGTGAATCAACAGGTAAATTTTATTACCATTTATGTATCTATATTTATATTTTTATTTTTTTTTTTCAATACAAGTTTTTGTTTGTTTAAGTTGTATGATATCTTAAATTTTGTTGACTTCAGGTAAGCGAAGTTTGCGAAAAATTAAAAAACGACGAAAATCTTCGTGATGGATTTAATGCTATCGGATTTTCCCAGGTAAATTAAAAAAATTATATTCTTTTCTATTTTGCAAATTAAAATTATTTTATAATAAATTAATTAGGATTCTTTAATAATTTAATAAAAAGGGAGGACAATTTATTCGGTAAGCGCAGTACTAAATATACAGTGACAGTGTGACATTATCATTTAATTATTTTTCTTCATTCAAATTGAAGCGCGTACGTGCAACGATGCAACGACCCACCCGTTCATAATTTAATTACTATGGGTGCACAGCACGCTGGTTATATTATAATCTATTTAATTATTTATCACTTTTTATTTTTGTATCTATCAAAATATTCTAAATTTCTTTTTAAAAATTCTTTATTTACTTGTTATTAATGTATGTAGGTGTCTCGGAACTTCCTAATTGTGATAAAGGTGATGGATTTTGTCGATTAATGAATACCATGGCATCTCGTGGGGTATATTCAGAATTTGTTCGTAAACGAGTAATTCAAGCTCAATATTTCAAGGATCCTAAAAATATTGAAACATATTTAGCCAAAAATATTTTTTTACCGGACATTAATAATGAACTTATGTTTAAGAATAAGACTTATGCCAAAAATTTGGCATCATTAAATAAGTTTGTGATGATTCGATTTACTGAAGATACAATCGTTAGACCAAAAGATTCATCGGTAATTCGAAATCTCTCTCTCTCTCTCTTTTATTTCTCTCTTAGTTCTCTCAATAGATTTAGATTCAGATTTACATTATTTCCAATTATAAATTTTTTTTAGTGGTTTTCATTCTATGATGAAGAAGGAAATCTTATACCACTTCAAGAACAAAAAATCTACAAAGAAGATTGGATTGGATTAAAAGAATTAAATAATTCAGGAAAATTAATATTCAAAGATTGTGAAACTAGTCATGTGAGTACTATAATAAAAATGATATATAAAGAAATAATAATCGAGAATAAATAATTTAATTAAAATAATAATATAAAATTAATAATAATTTTTTTTTTTTATTCTTTCTTCATGTTGTTATTTTTCAGATGCAATTTGATTTGGATTATTTTCTACAAGAAGTTATTTTGCCTTATTTGAGTGATATAAATCAAAAGAAATTATTCATTATTCAAAATTGAAATTTTTCTTTTAAAAAGTAACAAAGTATAGTTAGTCATTATTTAAAATTGGATATTCCTGTGATACATTGTACAATATCCGCAGAAGTCTAATAAATGAATGAAATAATGGAAAACAATGGTGGGGTGGTTTTGTGTACAAATATATCTATATTATTAATATACTGCGGTACGAATAAAATATATATAAGGAGATTTAACTTTCCCAGAATCAAATTAAATTAAAAAAAAAAAACACGTTTAAAAAATCAAATTAAATATATTAATTAATTATCTGTTAATTATTAAAAATCGAATCGAAAATAAAATTAATTCCTTTTTTTTTTTTAAAAAAAAAACAATGACGTTCGATCTCAAGTTTATACTATCATACTGGATACTTTTGATAATTTTGATCCTATTATTAATAGCTTATATATATGTCGGTATAAAAGAATATCCAAAATGGAGACGAGATAAAAGATATCTATTAACTCGGAATATTGAGAAGATTGGAAATAAAGAGAATAAGAAACAAGAAGCTATGACCAAACTAAATCAGCAAACAAAACAAAATCCTTTAATATTTATTCCACTTATTCCTTTTGCACTTATATATTTTACTTTACGAATAACTTGGGATTTATTTAAATTATTTGTATTTTATTCATTGGAAAGTGTAGTAATTGGATCAATTCTGTTAAAAGATATTTTATTCTGGAGTATTAAGGAAATACCGGTGATAATTTTAATTATTCTAAGGTTTTGGAAAGATTGGATTCAAGTCCCACTTTTAAGACTTTTAAATATAATTCATTATTGGTCATATAATTATGCTTGGCCGATTATAAAAAAATTAATTATTTTGAATTGGAAAATTAGTACTCGAATGTTTAAATATGGGAAAGAAGTTATAAGTTATTCATTTAATAAATCTTTAGAAATATCAAAAAAAAGTTGGGAAAATTTTGGATATCCGATTTCAAAATTCCTTTTGAATTTAATTCTTTACCTTATTATTAAACCCGGAACCTGGATTATATCAAGATCTATTTATCTTTCACGAATTCTTTGGATTTGTTCTTGTTTCTTGGCTCGTGATTTGGCTGAAGATGTTAGGGATTTATGGATCACTTCATATAATATTTTTAATTTAATTTGGAATTATGGAATTCAACCTACGTGTCAATTCTTTATTCGAATTGTGAAATTAACTATTCAAATGACGAAATCAATTATTCAAATGGTGAAATCAATTAAACAATGGATTATTAACACGACGATCATGTTGGAAAATTATCTTCCTATTATTGAAAGATTTCTTTATATGAGATTAATATTAACTAGTATTAATAATATGGTTAATATTATTCATGGAATTTGTTCCAATAAAATATTTCGTTTCCTGGTAGGAAATTTTTTTGATATTTTAATCTTTACTGGGAAAACTTTAATGGAATTTATAAATTATTATTTCAATCAATTGAAAGAACAATATCAAAAGATAAAACTAATTCTTATAACATATATTGTAAAATCAATTAAAAGAGCAAGTTATGAAATAATCGAAATTACGATAATTTCATGTTTCGAAATCATGAAATCATTGGTTTGGATATATCATTCAATCATTCGACCAACAATTTTGGCACTTCCGATGGCTAAAAAGATTACCAGTTCAATTTATCGAAATGTTAAGGAATTCGTTACGGAAATCATTTTTAATTATTTAATTAATTTAATATTAATTAATACTTTATTACCTTTAATACGACCACTTATTTCAATCGCAAATTACATTTACACGAATTATGTATTAACGATGATTATTTTATTCTTTGATTTTATTAAAGAAATATCAATCGTTTTATTTAATTCATTGAATAAGGGATATGAATATTTTCAATTATTCCTTTCTTTCACTTATAATAATTTGATTTCACTTTGTAATATAATATTACCTTACCTTTATATGATGATTTCACAAATTGAAGATAAAACTTTGGGTTTATTGAAGAGATTAAGTGATACCTTAATTAATAATTATTTACCTCGATTGAGTAATTTCATTTATGAATTACAAATACTTCAATCATTACAAAATATTTATTTAACATTTTATGTTAAATTTGAACCAATAATTCTTGAATGGAAACAAAAGATTGTGGAGACTGCGGATTCGATGGTGGTTAATCTTGGACAAAGTATGATGGAATGGGTTAAGAAAGAACAAGAATTAAAAAGTGGAACTAGTGGTTAAATTTTTTTGTATAAATTAATTAAATTAAATTTATTGGTGGAAATTTTGTTTTTTTTTTTATTTTATTTTTTTTTTTAATTTTTTTTTTTTTGTAAGATACTTTATATATTTGTGTAGTGTTCAAATAAAATAAAATATACACTTTTTTGATTTAAATAATAAAAAACAATTATTATATATTTATATACACGTTTATATATGTATATATCATATAATCAATTCGTTTTCTTCGTTTTATTCTTACTAGAAGGATCTTCATTAAAAATCCAAACAATAGAAAATATTAAAAATGATACTATCATAGAAGCAGTTACAGTATAATAAGGATAAGCGGCCGATATATATCTAGGATATTCATTATGTCTAAAAGGTCTAATAGCTACTACTGATTTATCATCTATATAAGAATATCCTGGTCGTTTATAATTAACTCTAAATGTGAATACTCCGTAAACATCAGGAAGTTGAATATTCGTTATAAATTTACGAGATTCTAAATCAGGTGATGAAGTGGGAGTAAGAGTTTTTCGAATATATGGATCTAACATTATAGCTTCAAATTGTACATCTGTGCCATTAAATGCTTGCCATTGATCATTTACATATTCTGAAATCTCAATGGTATACGTCTATTCGTCGTCATTTAAGGTTTTAATTAATAAACAAGAAAAAATAAAACGGGGGAAAAAAAAAGAAACATATATAAATTTAAATAACTTCTTACAATGTTATCTTTAATTCGATACGTCTCCAATTGTTCTGTTTCTCCTTCCTTATTATGATGTCGAGAAATAACCTTAATAACTCCTTTCTTCTGGAAAGTCCATTTTACTAAATCCATAGCAAAATCTTCGTTACCCGATTTAGGGAATCTAAAATAAATATATATATAGTACGTGTATTAATGAACAATATAAATAGATATATATATTTATATTAATCTTAATTAAAATGATGAACGCTTACTTTTCTGAAGTAACGACATTATGAACAGGAGAATCAAAAAATCTATTAGAAAAAAAAAAAAATAAATAAATTATATAAAAATTAAATTTAATATCTATAACATGTTCATAATCGTTTTTACCTATCACTAAAGAATTCCAAACTTCCCACGAAAGTAATTCTTGCATTATTTCTTGCTTGTAATGCGGTTACAAGTCCAATCTGATTTCCTGAAATGAAAGGTACTTGATCTACTATATTTTTTTGATCTTCTCGAACTTCATATGAATAAGAAGTATTCCTTCCCCATAAAATTTTTACTAATAATGGTGATGAACCAACTTTATGACCTATCCCTCTAAAAAGTATCGGTGATCCTTCAATAACTTCTTTACTTAATATTGCTGGATTATTTGTTATGCTATCATCATTATTGCCTTTATTATTATCAATAATTACAAGTGTATGTTTTCCTCCTTCATCAAATATATCATAATTAAAATGATCTATTACAAATGTATCTTTGTCATCAATTTCGATATCAAATTCTCGAGAAAAATCTCGTATAGTTTCCGAAGTTTTTGATGAAGTGGCTAAAATCATGTTTCCCCCGGAATTAATAAAGTTAATTAAAGAGAGAGGATTCACTTTATCCACATATTCTTTTTATTTATATAATATATATTTTTAATAAATTATTTAAAATGTTAGTACAACATATAATAATATATAATATATATAAAATAAAATAAAATAAAATTTTAGATAAATTACTTTTTGTTTTAGGCGCAAAATTAATAATGTGATCATATTTTCGTTCACCAAATTCAAACAAATCCAAAGAAGAATCTGTGGGCAACTTATAAGATAATTCATTTTCCTTTTCTATACAAATTATTTTTTTTTAAATTATTAAAATTAAATAAAATTAAATAAATTAATAAATAATTAAAAATAAATTAAAAAAAAAAAAAAAAACCCAAAAAAAAAAATTAAATTAAAAAAATTTAATTAATAAAAAAAAAAAAATTAATTAATAAAAAATTTAATTAATAAAAAATAAATTAATAAAATAAGAAATAAATAAATAATGATAAATTATTTACCCAAAGTTGCAAAAAATTTTTTATATAATATTTTGTCAGCTTCTTTATCCAACAAGACTAATACTCGACCTCCCGTGGTAGATTTTGACTCTATGTGAAATCCCAATAACAAAACCACCAAGATAAATAATAATAATAATATATTCAAATTACGCATTTTGAAAGAAAAGAAGTGAAAATTTAACATAATTCAAATGATGATCTTTATATTTTTTTGATTTTCGAATTTTCTTACGTGGGTTCTATTGATTGGTTAGTTTATAAAAAAGTCAACTGCTCGAAAAAATTTTGTTTAATTTTAAATTGAATTTTCTCTATTTTTTTTTTTATGGATATTAATGTAAAAGTGGAGGTAAAAGGGGAAGAGGGAGAGGAATTAAAAAATAAAGAAATTGATTTAAAAGCTAGTATAAATAAAATGGCTGCAATCTTGGACATGGTTAGTAAATGAGATTACTCTTTGATTTATAAGAAATAATGAATGAATATGTATATTAAACAAATATATTTTTTTTTAGATAGACCAATTTCGAAGTCCTTTTAATTCTATTTGTAAATATTTAAATGAAATATGGGATGTAGAAACTTTTCAAGGTAATTTCAATTAAAATGCATGTATATGTATATAAATAAAAATATAAAATTGATATAATAATCAATAATAATCAATAAATTTATAATTGATAATAAATATCATTCATAGAACGTTTATTACATGAAGAAAATATCTTTAATCCAACCAAGTTTTATAATCTGCATTCGGTTTGTATAAATAAATTAGACAAATTTTGTGAATTAGTTGAATCAAGTGTTGGTAAGTGGGTTATTTTTATTATCTCAGTTCATTCTCAATCTCATTCTCAATCTCATTCTCAATCTCATTCTCGATCTCATTCTTGATCTCTTCTCAATCGCATTCTCAATTCCATTATTTTTTATGAATAATAATAATAAGTCAATGTATATATATAATAATTATTTTATTTAGATGAATTGGAATATGCAAGAAAAGTGGCATCAGGCTGGAAAGATAATTCATCCATTCCTGAAAACAGGTAAATTTATTAACATTTATTATTATATAATTTCATAAATATTTTATTTTATTTATTTATTTATTTATTATTTTTATTAAAATTTATTATTAAATTTATTAGATTTTCAAACATGAGTATTAATGAGGATAAATCTTCTGGAATAATTAATTATAAAGAAATCATGCAAAAGAATTGTCAACGAATAACAAAGTAAAATATAATAATAATTATTAAATTTATTATTATTTTTTTTTTTTAAAAAAAAATTAATTGAGTTTAATTGAGTTATCAATTAATTTAACAAACAATTTTTTTATCTTTATGAAAAATAATAAAATAGATTATATTTTAAAAATAATGAAATATTTTTTAAAAGACACAGAGAAGGAGATCATATAATTCCCAAACTTCCTATTTTAAAAGAAACTAAAATTCATAAAGAGAAGTAAATACTTTAATTATAATAAAATTATTAATTATTAATTATTATTGTTATTATTATTATTATCAATTCAATATTAATTCAATATTTAATTTAAATTCTAGTAGTATTAAAATGGATGAAATTATTGATAATTGGTTATTAGAAGCCAAGAAAAGACCTTATAAAGTTGAAATTGAGAAAATTGAATTTGATTCAATTGGAAGAGTTACTGGATTATTGGTACATTTTTCAATATTTCAATAGATAAATAATCTAATTTATTAAATATTAAAAATATTGATTTAATTTTAATTTAATACAATATAATTAGGTATCGATTAACAATTTATTGAAAGCTGGAATAATATTAAAATATAATGATATCAATGAACCATTAACACCTTTTTCATTGGTTAGAATTTCTGTATTTGGATATCACGAAAAAGTATATTTTTGATTATTTTTATTATATACTTATGTAAACTAATTATTATATACTCATATAGATTATATATTATTATAATATTTATTAGAAAACAATTCGCGAATCATCAGATACGATTGAATTTCAACGTATAACTCAAATCGGACTTAATTCATTAAATGATTTCGATCCAAGAAATTCTCTTATAAAATTATTGGTAATTAATTATTATTCGATTATTTAATTCGTTTCATAAATGTAAACTAAAACTAAAAATATATATATATATATATATTTATTTATTTATTTATTTATTTGATTAATTTAGGATTGGATTTCAAGTTATCACGATTTATACACAGCAAAATGTAAAAAATGTGAAAAAATTCTATCTCATGAATCATATTCTTATAAATATTTACCTTCGGTACTTAGAATTTTGATAGATGATAATTTTGTTCCTTTTCATTGGAATTGTTATTATTATTCATAATAATTATTATTTGATGATGAATTAAAATAATTATTTGATTGAAATAATACAATTTAATTATCAATTTGAAATGTAATTATATAACCCTCAAAGTAAAAATAAAGCAAAAATAGAATACAAATATAAAACATGGCTAATTTTTTAATGATCGTTTAACATAATGCATAGTTTAAAGTTGATCATCGAAATAATTCATTGATCTAGATTATCAAAAACCCTAGATTTTTTAATTTTGCAAGGAAAGAAAAAATAATACTCAAAAAAAAACTTATACAAACAATGTCCACCAATTTCTCCACTTTTGCAGAAACAAGAAAAGATGTTTCAACGTTAGCTGATCTAGCTAATGAGATCAACTGATCAACTTATTGAATTTTTGTGGAACAAACATTTAGTCCTGAGTCGAAAAAATCTCAATATTCTTAATGATCAAAAAGTTTCCGGTTCAGAATTTTTACTTTTGACTGAGAAGAAACTTCTAGAGCCACCATACAAACTTCCAGGAGGACTATCTGCAAGAATAGAAAACTTCATTAATAATCTCAAAGAATGTAAGTGTATTTTATATACTTTATATTCTTAGTACAGTTATATAAACTGATACTAAAAGTTATCTTCCACATCACATAGCAAGTACTTCAAAACCATCCGCCGGACTTGTATCTGTTTTTTTAGACAACTCTAACTTGTTTACCGGAGGAAGGTTTACTGTTGGTAATTTTGAACAAGCAGGTACCTTTAATCACCAAAGAAATTCCTTCTATTTCAACCAACTCTACATCGACCATGGTCATATTATATCAACAGTACTTAATGGATGAGGAATGGGTAGTAATCCAGTAATTGTTGGCTCTCGTCCATCTTCAAATGATTCACAATAGAATCAAGATTATGATGCGGTTTTTAAAGATCAAAAACCAAAAATGGAACTCTTGGTTTCAGCAGCAGAAATCTACCACACCAAAGATCCTGGTGTATTTGTTTTAATATCTGGTTATGTGGGAATGAACCTTTAATATTTAGAGCCGTCGAACGCAATTGGAAAATAGAAATATGGTCTTGGTCCTCAGGTATGAAATATTTGCTGTGTTTAAGTTACATAAGTTCTTTAAAGTAAAATATTTTCTTTCATTTGTATAAAGATAAGTATATCCAGTTGTTTTATGAGAAAATCTTTTTTTTATCCTTTGGATAATTTTTATCAACAATTTACATATGCATATGGACAAGTTTCCACTGGAAAAAAACATACCCTTGAAATAACTGATAAATCAGTTGGAAAATGGGAGAATGATGAAATTATGAAGTGTTTTGTTTCACTACAATTATTTGCTCGATGGTATAGACAGATCATGAATTTGTACTTTGATAACAAAGTGAATTTAGGAAAGGTAATAAATTGGATGAAGTCTAATCATCCAGGTATAGATAAGATGGCTGTTATATAGATATTTTTTTTTAGATAGAAGTTCTTTCAATTTTATTTGAAATATTTACGGAATATAATAAAATCTACATATATATTATCAATATAATCATAATATTCCTAATTAATACATTAATTAATAATAAACTTTATTTTAAATAATTACTTGAAATGTAATTAAGAAACGAGTAATTTTATTATTATAAACTAGCCATTATTTTTTTTTAGAGTAACCGCCTTGGGATATGCATATACATGAAAAGATTGAGTAATTATTATTTTTGTTAATATTATTTTGTAAACATGAAAAATAATAATAGTAATCTCCATCTCCGTACGTTGGGTAGATCTGTACGTTAATTATTAATTACTCCAATAATAATTATCAATTGATTAAAGCATTCAATAATCGACGCGTGTATCCAGTATTCATCAATTGACTTCATCGAAAAAGGATTAATATTGGGTTGGAATTCTATACTACGATTAACTAACTGTATACATTTGCTATGTGGAAATAAAGAAAATAAAGAGGAGGA